TAACAAGACAACATAATTGGATTTCATCCTAAAGATGATATTTGGCATGGTGCACTCCACATTGTCAACATATTTTTTTTTTTAAATAGGAGACCATATAAGTATCGTAATATATGCAAGATGGCGGAGATGTTGTCAGTTGTTCCAGGTTGGCATCAATCAGATTCTGACTCACTGAAGATCAACCTACGACATTTTTATATGCAGTATTGCAAGATCGTTGGAAACCAGTCTACTAGGCGTTTCGTCAAGAAAAAGCAATTCTCTTATTTGAATTGACCGCGGACAGAAGATGAAGCCAACTGTAAGTTAATCTGACTCAGTCACACTATGAACTTAACTCCTTAAGACTAAGAAGCAACGACCGAATAAAACAGTCATCTCCGCAATGCTACCACTCCCTGGTTCATCAGGAGTCAGGCAGCATTCCGCTTTTTATTATCGGCGATACATGCCGACCTAAGGGTATCCCAGTCTCAAATGTTTGCCATTCAGAGAGCAAACACCACACGCTAGCTGCCTCACCATGTTTAGGGAGGCACTGGATACTGTTAGACTCGTATTCGCAAATTTTGACTCTCCAAAGGCGTCACATGCAAGCAGAAGGTTTTTTGAAATCACTTAAATAGCATAATTACCACATAATACACAACTTTCCTGTGATTTGCAGCTGATAACCCTGTTTGTACTTCGACTGGCTTCTCGGCAAATATTTGAGTCTTTAGACTTATTTTGGTGTAAAGAACTCGCGTTTAATTAATTTCCATCATTACAATTTGTCAAATTGAGAGAATAAATATCTCGACAAATATTGGCCATGTATTTGCGAGTAAATACCTGTCGTTCAATTAACTTCCACATTCCGAATTGTTGTTAAATTGAGAGACTAAATGTCCCAGCAAATATTTGAGACTCATTTGGTGCAATTTCCATCATTGCAAGTTGTTAAAATAATAAAATAAATATACTGGTATACTTGGATATTTGATTTAATTTGATTTTAAGTTCAAACAGCTGAATTTGAACCATCAATAATTCTACGGACAGCATCACTAAACCACAGAGGATATTCATCCGTTTCATGAATTGATTTCATAATATAAGGAACGCCATCGTGACAATTTAATATCTAGCAAAACTTACTTTGACTTCTGTTTCTTTCTTGTATTATTCTATTATTCTTGTAAAGATCTTGTAACTGTTGAACAAATAACACCAGTTTAACTAGTTTATGTAGTTTACTATTCTTTAGTGATATTCTTTGTTTATTTTTTGTGGTCTCAGTTTATATGATTTACGTTTTTCACAGTAGCTCTGAGCGGGCCTCGAACCGAGGCTAATTAGTACTGTCATGAATTTGTTTACGCGTATCTGTAAATCGACTTAATTAGCTGATTATTAGCGAATTGCTGTGTTATGTCTGTCATCGTTTAGGCCTATTTGAAGTTTTGGACGGAACTTGGCTCAGTGATTTGGAACTAATTACGAGATAACCGTCGCTATTCGGACTATTAATTCTGACAGTTGGTATCCGTAGTTATTAATGTAGTGAACGATTAATCAAAAGATATGACGTATTCAGTACTTAGTTTGATTGGCTTTATGATTGAAGATTACGCCTTAGAGTCTTTTTACTGCTTTGTAATTGGTTAATGTTTTGAAAATGAATAAAGTTGTTTGGGTTGGTCTTGGCGAATGCTCCACGACAGACGCAGTCTAAGTCCAGTCCTGGAGAGACTTGGGGCGAGCCTTGAGGCAGTCCAGTCTTGGGCTAGTCTTGGGTCAGCCTGGCGATAGTCTTGGGGATTTTTCCCCAGGGCGCCGTGTCTTATAGAGTGCACGACTGACCGACTAAGACGAGAGTTGAAACGTATTTCGTTGTGTGTGTCTTATTTGACTGTAAAGCTTAAGTGACTTCCCCGATCCCGTACCTCAAGGGGACGAGATATAGAGACGAGACGAGATTCCCCCCTGACACGTGTGGAGAACCCAGAGAGAAGAATTTCCCCGTGATAGTACCATGGGTTTGTAGTTCCATGTTTTAGTACGTACGTCTTCTGGAAGTTAGTTTGTTCGAAGTCAGCACAAACAATATAATTTAGAGATAAATGTTATAATAAAGTTATAAGATCTAATTACCAAATTCTTGTACGAAAAGGTAGGAAATACAAAAACAGGTATAATTTGATACAAAATACAATGAGAATCAAAAGCTGGAAAATCTGTCCCACACGAAACTGACTTTTGAAATCTAGGGAGCTGAAACGATTTGTTTGCATGTTTTTTATAGTATTATATGTATGTGGCATGTGACAGACAGGTGTACTTTCTATTCAACGATTGGGCGGATATTATTGGTACACGCCAGCATATGTGCTTTCGTTCAAATGATATTGGAATGTTTTTTGTTACATAACCGCTGACCTTGACGCACTAGGCTTTGGGGCAAATAATTAATAACTGACTATAACTGTCAGAGGATCTGATTGTAATGTTTTTATTTGTACGTCGTTTCAGGTTTTCGCACGTTATTGACCAACCGCTGGTCAGGAAACAACAAAAGATTGTCGGGATTTTAAATATAGGATAGATTACATATGATACGTTTATATTCTGTCGACAACTGACACACTGCTGTTTTTATAAAGTCAACAATGATTTTGCAAACAATTGTAAACGTTAAAGGTTGTGGCATGATTTGCCTTGGCATAATAACAACAAATGAAAGTGATTTTTTTTTAATTTTATTTTCGGATGTAAAAGTAAGATTGAGAATGTAATCAAAAGTAAAGTGAGATCACAAGTATAAATTTGATTTCGATTTTCATATTTGATTGTGCTTGTAAATCCGATATCAATCTATTTTAAATCGACAAAACCATTTTAAAATTCAAATCAAAATGTTAATTATAAATGCGTAAAATGTGGAAATAAATAAAATACAAAAACGTTACACTTTTCAAAAGGTGTGGTCATGATTTTCCCTGGTTGCTCTATTCTATATACTGGGTTTCGGTTCCACGTTATTACATAGTTCAGCCCGGGGTGGGCGCGCCTCAATGCGTATCTACGTCTGGGGGAAAATACCCATTCTAAGTACGGAAACACAAAAAGCATATTTACGACAGTATTCCTGGAATTCTGCGCGCTATGTATCATGGATAATAGATTCACCCTAGAGATTCCCTGAAGGGTTTGTCGGGAAATACACAAAATATTAAGACATGATGATTGAAAATAAGCATTTTAGCGTTTATATTATCATTTTGAAATAATATACCCTTATTTTTTTATTGCGATTTTAATAACCCGAGACACCGTATTCGCGTAGAAAACCACTCCTGATACCCGTTTTTGTGGCAGCGTGCCCCAAGTTTGCATATTTAAATACAGAAGGGGACTGTACATTGTCAAGGCTTGTTTAAAATGTCATGTAACTTTTTGAGCTTTATGTGAAAGACCCTTTCTATTTTGAGCCGCCTCATATGACAATATACATATTTCAGATAGCCAGGGGAATTCGATCGTATACTTTTTGTAATAATTTTTGCTTAGGAGATTAAGAAATTGAAATGTGTTTTTTTGCGGGATTGGTCGTTATATGTATATCATTCTCATTTCACTCTTACCTTACAAGATAATGGGTATCGGAATTATTATGTTTTTTTTAGTTTTGGAGATATAGTAAAGCTTAACAGACTCAACTTAACGGACTCAATATGTCTGTCATCTTGTCAACTCAAAATCGCACAAAAATGCCCATGACACGTCATTTTCTAAGCTCATTTTGATGTAAAATAGATGATGTAATTTGTGCATCATGAGCGGGGGGGGGGGAAATGTTGCAAGACGATGTATTCAATAGTCGCGATGCACGTGCCAGCACATAAAACAACTAATGTATTTGTCAAATCGATTCTACTACATTTACTAGAGCTGTTATTCAGTCCGTCACCAGGCCTGGTTATGTAAATGTAAAATGGAATGATTACCCACAATTAAGTTTTGGGGAAAAACATTACGTACCAAACGCGTGCATACTGAAAATTGTCGACCAACGATAAATGATGAATTTAACATTGGGTGTAGGTACGTAATATATTAGGAGATACATAGATGAAAAACAACTATTAAGACAATGCTAATTTTGTTTATGTTCAAGTTTAATGTTCAACTGAACCATATTAAATACAGATACAATTAATACCACCAGCAATGACCATTATCGGTGCTTCGATTCGAAACTCATTCTATCACTATATGCATTAAGCCCAGGAGTGCGATGCATTTTCAACATTGTATCACGAACACCCACAACGAGTGACCTATGTATACTAGTAGTTACCATCCTATGAGAAGATATGATTGATATTCTCTGGAATACAAGAACACCCGTCGTTGCACATATCTGCTACTGCAATACACTCCCCATCACAAAATATAGAGCCATCGTTACAGACTGCAAGATAAACACACATTTTCCACATTACCTACTATGCGTCCATGTCTACGTAAAGGTAACACAAACAACAGTAATTAATATGCGACGGATTAGTCGTGAGTCCACCGTGTGCAATCCATGTACAACCACCACATCACTGAATATCATTCTCATATATTGCTCATACTTATAAATTCAAAATATATAAGAAGATGGGTTATGTGGGTCAATATTGTTAACTAAGAACACAGAAAAAGTTAACCTTCGCTGATTGCGCACATTTCCTATCATGAGAATAAAAGAGCAAAAATAAATACTCACATTTGACCCCGGCATCATTTAGTGCCATCGTGAAGGCCGCGTTCATTGGCCCCATACCAAAATCAACTATCATATCTGAAAAATTATGAGAATTATTATTTTTAATTCTATTCATTGCATTTATTTACAATGAAACATTGACAATGACAGTAACAGATCTAAACTGAAAGGTAAGATTAAACTAGAAACATACAGAAAACCTGATAAGGGAAAAGTACCGAAAAAACAAAAAACAAAAAAAAACAAAAAAACATTTTTGTCATGGTGTTTGTGCTGGTTAGTGTTTAATAAACATGCTTTCGATTGATGATTCTTTCAAATGTGTGATATAAGGAAATGTACATTTATCGACTTTTATTCGCGATGCCATTTGGCGTCGAACGGAAGGAACCATGTTACAATAAAATACAAATATCTAAAAACAACAAATTTAAAGACACCAAATGTATCAGAAAGTAGTTAAATACAATCACAAAGTCTAAAGACCAACTCGGAAGAGCCATGGACCCGGCCCACAGCTACAAAATGTCCCGGATGTCATGCTTTGAACCGTGTATAGAATTTGCGGTAAAGTACAGGCGTATAATAAATGTGTTGATTTTGGCTAATCGCCAAGCTTAAAGTGACAAGTGTATACGTAGTAGCGAACGTCTAGAATACTATCTGTAATGGTGTATCATTCGAGTGATCATGACTGGGTCGTGTCTTTTGAAAGATGAATCACATCACGGGACATAGCTTGAGACATCACACGACTATAAACGCACGATATATAACTGGATAATATTTCAAAATAACTGTGTGGATTTCACAGTCAGTAAATTATACAAGAATACACTTGCGAATTTCATCACATTAACTGTGTCATGAATGTCCCTGGCATATATAATAGAATATCAGGAATATGTCTGTGTAACACGCAGGAAAGAAGAATTGCCAAAATATGATATGGTATGTACACACATGCTACGTATGTTTGCAAATCTTTCGATTAAATTATACGCAGACTCCGAAAATTACTGTTAGAACCCAAATTGTATTCTTCAGTGTCTGTACGTTGCAAATCATGCAGACCGTTCGAGACTATTCATTTTTGGCAGTGTGAAGCCAAGAATCTTTGAATATAAAACAATTAATCATTGTTAGGACTACACAAACTTACCTTTCACATTAGGGCCACCTACTACACTTAAACCATCGTCAAACAACCCTTTCACGCCCTCCAACATATTACAAGTATCAGAGACGTCATATTTAGTACACGTGTTACATATATGAGATGCACATTCACGGAATGTTCCACATCCTCCGTATTTCTCATTCTCGAAACAAGCGCCTGTTAATGCGTCACAGTCCATTGTATTCTCGGGACACCCATCTGAAACAGCATATATTATAGGCATTAATTAGGTTCCACATTGATTCCAGAGCGGATTTTTCGAGTTATAAAATGGCAAAAAAGCAATTTTAAGTATTATTTTTCAGTCGATTAAATATAGAACAAATTGTTCGGAGTTTTTATTTCGGTGCAAATGCCTTCTCTGTCAGAAATTCGTGAATTTCATTGACGATCTGAAATATTCTTATATTATCCATCCCATATCCTCGGAAACACAGAAACTCCGATTACAGATGCAGGAAGAACGTAGTTTCAAATAACATAACGACGTAGTGTGATTAAGTATTATGATAATATTCAATTCAGAAAAAAAAAACGATTAGGCAAACAAAAATTATAATAGTGACAGATTTGTGATAAGTGTTGTGACGTTTACAATCATGACTTTGTTCACACGTTGTCAGCATATGATTCGATTCACGCACAGTCAACGCTAAATCGTTACGTTAATTTCTATATCGAAAGCAATCTTGTATGTATGCTTTATATAAACATTATAATCATTTGGTACTTACTAGCAAAGTAATCGAAATTATCGTCAAACATGTCATCTTCAGTATATGGTATAAAATTCTGAAAAAGGGAAAGGAAATACAAGTAACCACTGATTACTGACAGTTGAACAATTGAGTATGCGTGGATATCTCCAATACGTTAACGATGTGAAAACAAATAAATACACAATGTAACATACACTATGAATTCACTTAAACATTTCATATCTTTGATGCTATATTTTGTATACGAACACCCACGCATGTGTAAATACAGAGATAGGGTTCCACGATTACTCCACATCATTAACGAAACAAAATGAATCCATTCAAATATCAGGGGGGTAAAATCTTTTCCACAGGGTTCTCCACACGTGTCAGGGGGAAACTCGTCTCGTCTCTA